TACTCTCTTCTAGAGGTGAATTGGACTAGCCTCCAGGGGATAAAATCAGCAATTTATGCAACATGGTCACATCCTGTGAACCATCCTTGAAAACCACCTCTCTATAAATAAGGTAGTTTCACTGAGTTCTACATTGTAGTAACATAAAGCAAATGAATTGCTAGCCCTCTTATAAGTGTACTTAACCTTTCAGTACAGCTGCTTCAGTACAACCTTTTCCTGATTCTGGGAATTCCCAGCTGAGACATGTTCAATATATTGTTGTGGTGATATATGTTCTTGCTACGTTGGCCAAAATTCTGGTCCTTGGAGTATTCCCTTCAAATATGTACCAGAGAGGGTGTATGCTCTGTAGGCCTTGTTGGAGTATGGATTAATACAACTGCTGGCCAATGTGTTTACAAATTATACAGAGGCCCTGCTAATAGCATAAACTGAATTAGGCCCCAGTAAATACAAAACTAGGAATTCTGTATGTGTAGGGGCCTACTGAATTTGAGGGAGTTATCCCCTGACTTTGCAGAGAGAACATGGGGCCCAGGAGTCACTTTGCAGGCAGAGAGCAGCAGGACCCTTGTTAGCCAAGGAGCCCTGGTGGCCCCACCTCTCACCACTGATTGGCCGCAAGGGCTTCCTGTCATACAGCACCTCCCCCCCTCCTCTCCCCGCTGCTTAGTGGCTACGAGGGCTGCCTGGCATGTGGCCCTGCCCCTTGCTGCCAATTGGTGGAGAGGGGCAGGGCCACAAACCAGGCAATTTGCCAGAGTTTGCAAAATCTGCAAAATCCATGAAATCCACAAAATCACAATTTTGGTAGATGTCCACATATATGGCATGCACCAAAGTGCTAGGTAAGTAGCTCTGTTTTAGAGAAGACTACAAGGCCAACAGATAGAGAATAAATTTGTCCCAGGGGGACACAAGCAGAGGGCCCGAAGCCCTCTCCCATGGCAGGACTCAAGGCAGGGCTGACCCGCCCTGAGAAGAAAGAGAAAAGCCCTGAGGGCAGGACATACTTACCTTTTTTAGGAAAAGTGGAACCAGATGAGCCATGCCAGGACGGACTGCCCACATGGTTTGTTAGCTGCTTTTATTGCCAGCTGGGGACAGTGCAGGCAGATGACATCATCAGAAAATGCCACCCATCTGATTTAAAAGCCCACGGCAGGAAAATGGCTAGGGGAGCAGCACCACCAGAGCCAGACAGCAAGGCTGCTCCCTGAGCTTCACACAGGCTGTGCCGGCAGCCTGGAGAGGATCCAGACAAGGATCCGATGGAGGGGTCCAGGACCAACTGAAGGAGGCACCACACCAGTCCGGCAGGGCAACTAGGCAAGGGAGGATGGCATCAAGGGACCTTGGAGCCACAGACACCAGACCTGTGAGTGGGGCGGTCTGACACCCCATGCCCCAACTTTTCCTTTTGTGTCTTAACTTGTTTTGAGTTTTCCCAAGGCCCGAAAGCAGGAAGAGGGGTCACGAGTGACCTCCGTAGGTCAGGAGGAGCCAGGACAGTGCAGTGGATAGCTACACAGCAAGGGAAGACCCAACACTTTGTCAGGGACAGTCCAACATGCTGTGGTCAATCACTTGCAGAAGGATGAGGGGAGATGAGCAGGGTGAAGAGAGGACAGGCAAAGGCATCAGAGGGTAAGCCAGCAATCCATCATCTGGCTGTCCTGAGTGCTGGCACATGGCTGTGGTGTAGGGGAGCTGGAGCCCCAAGGATGCCTGCTAAGGGCAGCGCCCGGTTCACAAGGAGCTGTGAAAAGGAGCCGCACTACTGAAAAGAAAGATCTAGTCATGGCAGGTAAATATTGGGGCCTCCCTTGGGGTGAACATGACCCAAGGTCTAGGCCACAGGAACACACCCTGCAGCTAGCAGTGGGTGCATGCTCCAAAGAGGCCAGAGAGCACCTACACAAGGCCATGTGGCTGCAGAATTGATAAGTTTCTTAGTTTCATAGTTAGTAGGGTCGGAAGGGACCTGAGCAGATCATCTAGTCCAACCCCCTGCCATGGCAGGAAAGAGTACTGGGGTCAAATGAGGTATTTGTCAAAGGTATTTCTCTAGCCTTGTCTTAAAGACCCCCAGGGTAGGAACCAGCACCACTTCACTTGGAAGTTGGTTCCAGATCCTAGCTGCCCTGACAGTGAAGTAGCGCCTCCTGATGTCTAATTTGAATTTATCCTCTGCCAGCTTGTGACCATTATTTCTAGTCATTCCTGGTAGTGCTCGGGGAAACAGGGACTCCCCCAATGCCTGCTGGTCCCCTCTGACTAGTTTGTAACAGGCCACTAGATCCCCCCTCAGCCTTCTCTTCTGGAGGCTGAACAAGTTCAGGTCCCATAGCCTGTCCTCGTAAAGCCTGCCCTGCTGCCCCCTGATTGAAGACCAGTACAGAACACCAAAAGAAAGCTCAGAGTGTCTTGACCATAAGTGTCTGTATCTGGTGGGAAGGTATTACTAATTGGTGAGTGTGACAGAGGGTTATCACAAGGCTGGTCCCAATGTTGGCCAGCCCATCTGTCTAGGGCAGTCTGCCCTGTCTCGTCTGCCATGACTTGATGTACTAAACTAGATGTTGAATTGCAGGAGGCTGCCCATTAAGTGCCTCGATGCCTAGGGCATTATACATGGTTCTGACCTTCCCTATACTGTGTCCCATGCCTCGCAGATGGCATCCAAAACTGCTCTCTCACTAGGGCCTCCATTTTATGCCCCCTCACTAGGGCCTTATGCCCTCTTACTGGTGCCTGCAACTGCTCATCAAGCTCTTTGGGGATGGCCTATGTGCAATCCTTTAGCTCACCCTTGTGACCCTACTCTGCATGGCCTCTTATACACTACACACCCCCTCTCTGGGTCCTCAGGTCTTACACCCCATGGGGCTCAGGTATCCATAGATGTGTCTAGCCCCCTGTCTGTCCCTACTGCTGGGTTACCCACCAGGTTGGAGGGGCTGGGGCTATAAGGCACCCCATACTTGCCTTTCACTAGGAAGGAAAATGATGTGGCATTTCCTGGGGACCACCCCACCACAGGCAGCCTCACCATACCATCCTGCTCTAGCAGGGTATAGTTTTACATCGTTTCCCCAAGACCAGGAACTTGCCATCCCCAATAGTTCCTTCCCTGTACATCCAAGATGGTGTGAGCAGCAGCTCCAGCCCGGTGGTGCTCCCCCTACAGCTGCAGCCAGCAAACTGCTGGCTCCCCTGCTCAAGTCCTGCTTTTATCTCTATCAGCTGTGCTCTCTTCCCAATCAGGCAGCCTTCTGATGGCCATGTGACCCCTGATTGGGAGTGCAACCACCTGCAGGCTGCTCTGTTGCTTATTCTAGCCCTTAAGGTGGCAGGCACAAAAGGTGCCATGGCACAGTGAGAAATAGGATGTAGATGATGTCAGCTAAAGATATTTTAGTAATTGGTGAGAACTAGGATGTGTAAGCTGTGAACACAAAGTTGTTTTAGTCAGTGTATGAAAAAAGTCCTGGGAACTCTTTGCACTTGGCTAAGGGGTTACATTCATGCCTGTACCATGCCTGCAAATGACCTGGCTAGCATCATGGTCGGGGAAGTTAGTGTCTAGAGGCTTTTTTGTAGGCAATAAACCTGGCTTTGGCCAGCCAGTCTTCCTCCAAAGTCTGCAATCTTTTGTAACAATGAGGTTTTATCATGACAGCATACACCCAGACCATCCAAACTGAGGGAGTCTGACATAGCCAGTAACATCTAACCCCTAGATAGCACTAATGCAGTTACATAATAACATTGACAGATGCTAGTGACTCCTGCAGTGGGCAGTGATTTAATTTCAACACTTTATTTAATGCTTTTGAGTCAGTACAGACCCTCAGTTTGCCTGAAGACAGTCTGTTGGAGATCCCCTGTATTTTGGTTTCAACAGATCATAGGATCATAGGTAAGTAAAGCTGGAAGGGACCTCACAAGGTCATCTAGCCCAGTGGTTCTCAACCTTTTTTGTACCAGGATCCATTTGTAAACATCGACAGCCAGTCCCAACCCAGTAAACAGTAAGTAGAAAACAGCCCCCTGGCCCTGCTAAGTGCTCCTCACTCCTGACTCACTGCCCCCCACCCCCAGACTCCAGCCCCACAGTGTCTGGGGTGGGGGGTGGAGCCTGCAAGGGAAACCCCACAGTTTTCTGTTTTTCTCCTTTAAAGGAAAATCCATTTTTAAAGTTTGTTTGTGACCCTTTCATATATTCTTGTGACCTGGTTTGGTTTGCGATCCATGGGTTGAGAAACATTGATCTAGTCCAGCCCCAGATGTGGCTTCTCTTTGCCAAATTACCAGTTCCTTCTTTCTTAGCTGTACTTGGGTTAACAGAACTCTGTATTTCTGCAATCTCATAGGGGATTGGTTCTAACTTCAACTGTCGGTGTTGTTTTTCTTTGAAATATATTCTTCTATTCTGTAAATGACAGCTTGTTTCATGATCCTGTTCTTCCTCTCATCTCTCAAGGACATCCTGATGTTGTACTGCAGTCAGATTAATTCCTTGCGCTTGTTGATTCTAGAGCCATTCTGGGTGGGAACAAAAAAATAATCAAAGAGTCAGTCGCACCAAAATTAAATACATTTTAATAGCAAATGTAATAATGAAATACAGATAATATGTAAATGGCCCAATGGCTCAACTAAGGCATATCAAGCAAATGCACTTGTATCCAAAGAAATAAGTCTTACTGTTTTTTTATGAAACTAATCTTAAATTCTCCAAGTCCTCAAGTCTAAAAAAGCCCCCAGCGGGTGGCCAGCCGGTTAGGGTAAAGGACTTCTTACCTAGGTTTCAAATTAAATTTTAAGAGTACCTATCTTGGTTCAAGAGCAGATGGGCTGTTCAGCAAGAACAGAATTCCAGGGCTGAAGAGCGAAGATTCCAAGGGGAACCCAGATTTTTGTACTTTATTACCTGTTGGCTTGATTTTAATCCAATACTTAATTGTGGGTATGGTGCAACATCCCTAAAATAACCAATCGCAACATATCCTGCTTACAACTTGTAGACTTCTATTGATACACAATAGCAGCATATGACAATTAACAAGCAAGCAAAAGCTCTCACCATACGCTGTGCCCCAGGGATGCACACAGAAAGACAGACATCTGTCCAGTACATGATAGTCTTCTGCAGGTCTCTCGCTTCAGTTTGTGGTGGTCTCACCTGGAAGAAGTTGCTGAGTGATAAACACACACTCTCTTTGTTCCTCTCAAGTGTTATATCTTTAGACCATTCATTGTGTACCTAGCTGGTGCTCATTCACTGGTGGTCCAGCCAGACGTACCTTGTCCAGACAATGGGGGTACTGTTCACAAGTGTTTCATGCACCAGGTGTTCTCGGGGAACTGGGTGCCAGCAGTCAGAAATGGAGTCAGGAGTCAAGGCGAGAGCCAGGCTGTGCTGAAATCAGAAGCCAAAATCTGTCAGGATTTGCCAGAAGTCAGAACAGGAACTAGGAGCCAAAGGCAGACTGAGGATATGCCAGTAAGCAGGAGCCAATGCCAGGAATCAAGAGTCAAACCAGAGATCCAGTAGGTGAAACAAGGAAGCATACAAGGTTCAGGAGCAAGTACCTAAGTCTTTGCCAAGGCAGAATACTGCAAGCTGGGCCTAACCTTTTAAGGCTGCAGCTGGTGGGTCCTAGTTTCGTAGTAGGCAGGGTCAGAAGGGACCCGAGCAGATAATCAAGTCCGGCCCCTTGCCATGGTTAAGAAAGAATGCTCGGATCAAATGACCCTGGCTAGGTGATTATCTAGCCTCCTTTTGAAGACCCCCAGGGTAGGGGTGAGCACCACTTCCCTTGGAAGTTGGTTCCAGATCCTAGCTGCCCTGACTGTGAAGTAGTGCCTCCTCATGTCTAGCTTGAATCTACTCTCAGTCAACTTATGGCTGTTATTCCTCATTACTCCCAGTAGTGCTTGGGGGAACAGGGACTCCTCCCATAGCCTGCTGGTCCCCCTTGGCCAGTTTGTAGATGGCCACCAGATCCCCTCTCAGCCTTTTCTTGTGGAGGCTGAACAGGTTCATGTCCTGTAGCCTCCACTCATAGGGCCTACCTTGCTGCCCCTGATCATGTGAGTGGCCCTCCCCTGGACCCTCTCAATGCTGTCCACATCCTCCC